GAAGTGCACACTGGATAGTGGAAAATGAATAATGCATCAATACATTTGAAATTCCTTTCTGTAGAGTTCAGTAAAATCTTTCTCTCACCTTACCCTTGGCTGAGGATCAAAATTTCACTCTGGCTCCCTCTCAATGTTAGGCCTCTGGAATGATATTGTTATCAAAATGAATGTTGATATAAAAAGATATGCGATTTCCAGTTAAAAATAAATAGTGACACAGTGAATAATGAGTATCCAGTCGATCTACACATAAAACAAAACATGCAAAATCCCAGCAAAAACAAACTATAAAACATACATGGCCTTGCAACTAACCACCAATGAACCACGCATTTCTGGAAACATGCGTCAGAAGCGTCACCAACAGCTGATTGCAAGGAATGTTACAGCGACTAAATTATTGCGGCCGTAGTTAGTCGAACTTGTTGCGAAAACACTGTTGTATAATGCATATTCATGTGCCATTCTGATTAAATTATTTTACACAACAGCTAAAGTTTTACAATTCAGAGGTTAATCACCGGTTTAGAAATAAAGAAACAGTAAATGCTAAATTAAATGTAATGATTTTATAGATGGTCTTGGTAATGCTCTCCGGCTGGTCATCTGTCGGCATACAAATGATAAGGACGTAAAAAGACAAAAGAAATAAATGCGACCAGCTACGTGGTTTTGTAACATGTATAACTGCTATTTTGAGGCATTCAAAAACCAAGACAGAAAAAACTGATTGAAAATTATTGCGTCATCAATGACAGCTTTCCTTCGCCTCAGAGACCAAAATTGACGCAGTCAAATGCCAATCCTTGTCAGAATGTCGGAAGTGCGCCAGTATTGTATTGCGTTATGTTTGGGCCGGCCAGTCTATATTTTGATTTTTTGTAAGGGTAATTGGTGTGTTATTTTCGTAATATAGGGTGGAACAGAACATAGAGTAGGATAGGTAATCAATGAATTTGCATCAAATTTTGTTTAGCTGATAGCTCTTTTTTATGCCGACCAGACGCAAATAAAGTAACATGTGGCATTTGCTCTGATTTTCAACATCTCATTTAAGTCTGGGTTCTTCCATAATGTATATCTAGTGCACACTGCACAGTGCACATAGACTTCAGTTCAGCTTCCTATAAGTTTGCTTTCAGGGTCTTTTATGTTTTATGGAATGCTTTCATCAGCATTTATTTATGCTTAGTAGTTTATTGCTTGTACCCTGGTTTGGTCATTGCCAGACTGTGGATGCTATTGCTGGTTGTTTTCAGTTTTGCATTTGAAATGTGCTTCCTTGATATATTTTTATATTTGGTTCTGTTTTAAAAGTTGTTTTGATGAATATTGTATTGTTAACCTGAGCAAATGCACTTGGCATTGTGTTTTGCATCTAAAAAAAAAATAAAAATTATAGGTTCTTAAGTCTGACCGCCAAATACCCGCCACACGACAAGTTTTGCTTCTCGAACCCGCCAAAAACCCTGCGGGTTTTGAAAACCCGCAGAAAGCGGGTTCGCGGGTTCAAAAAGGGCATCTCTAACCGCTACCGATCTGAACGTTCGCCTCCCCCGGGTCGGTGCATGTCGTTTTCAGCTCCGCGCGGTCACTCTCGGCGAACTTGGTCACACTATCTTTGGCATGCGCAACTCAGGCGCCAGTGGGACTGATGGCATTTGCATCCGAATGTTAAAGTCCGGCTTCTCAGCTATCGGTCGCGTCATACTTTACATTATCAATACGTGTATTACCAACTCCGATATCCCCGATTCCTGGAAACATTCCACAGTCCACCCCATCTTCAAATCAGGCAGCCCCTCGGATCCCACCAACTTTCGACCAATCTCATTAGTCCCCGTGATTATGAAGGTTGTGGAACGCCTCGTACATCAACAGCTTTACCACTACCTCTCAAATAACTATCTCCTTGCCTCCTCGCAGCATGGTTTTCGCCCCCGACACTCCACAGAGACCGCTCTGCTGTCCGTCACAGACCAAATCCTCGCAGCCTCTGATAGGGGAGAACTTTCACTGCTGTGTCTCCTTGACTTAAGCAAATGCTTTGATGTCATCGACCACGAACTTTTACTTCAAAAACTGGCCATGCACGGGATCGAGACCTCTTGGTTTTCTGCTTTTCTCACGGGACACACCCAGAGCGTGTCCCTATCTAATGGCGCCGGAGGTAGAGTACTGTCTCGGCCGCTTCCAAATAATATGGGTGTCTTCCAAGGATCTGCCCTGGGACCGTTACTCTTCACCATATTTTCGAACAACCTCTCGCTATACGCAGGTGACGCCACCGTTTTCCAATATGCGGACGACACCCAGGTTCTAGTGAGCGGCCGTGCCGACGACCTCAGATCGCTTATCTCTCGCATGGACAGTGATGCCATCCACATTTTTGCTCCATCCCAAGATCTCGACCAGAATTTCCCAAGATTCTCGTCTCGAATCCCAAGACTACCCATCGCATGTTCTTAGGAGTGCCCCAAGTAAATCCATAGCTTATTTTGGACATATTAGTGTGTTTAGTATTCAACTTTCTCTTCTTCGGGTCCACCCTTGTCCTTATTGGCGTCTTTACAGCAGCTTATGTACCTAGAGGCCGGGGGGAGGGGAGGGGGAGGGGGTCGATCGAATTCCTACAGCTGATCGGTTCCTGACCGAGTATAATAGCTTCACGAAAAATGAAGATGCTGGCCTAGACAACATGAAGCCGGTGGTATCTGCTATTATGGTCAGGTCATTCGTCGACCGTCAATGGTGGGTCAAGGACCCAAAACACAAAGTTCGAATCTGTTAGAACTTCTTGGAAACGAAGTCTGTGGCATTTTGGGTTTATTTCGAAATTTGTCTCGTGGCACATTTGGAGAAGCTAGAGTCAGGTGAGGTCAGGCTGATTTTTAGTGTTTTCCACCAATGAGTTTTGAAATATGGGCTCCAAAACAAGCTCTTAAAAGCTTATGTGAATCCCGAAATCGAAAAGCCTATATTCTATTCACGGCATATATGCCGTGAATCTGCGCGTAAGCCAGTGCCCGCTGGGGCCCATGAATTTTCAAGCCGACGATGGCGAGGGGGTCTAAACGAGGACCTAACACGTCCCCTGGACTATATAGTTACAAGACGTCAGCAGTGTTGTGAAGGTCGCAAGGTTACGCTTTGATTATTTTTGGTCCAGCAGAGCCCAGAGGTCAGGTGACCAGACTCTTTTCCGAGGTCAAAGACAAATTGCCCTTATTTTGGTTCGCGGTCAACGGATAAGCCTCCATAGAGCAAAACCGTGAAATGAAACGCTTTGTGCGGGAGCCGCTTTCTGAAATATTTTTTAGGCATAATGTATGTAAAAGCTTTTCATAGCCATCCAACATCATGCCTCCAAACCACCCATCCCCGTTGATCGGTAGTTGGAAATTAAACAAATGAGTGCCAGTTGCGAACAGCGACTGAAAGCTGCTACTATACCCATAACAAGTAATGGTACATTACTCCTGCGAATCCTGCGACCTCGGGAAGATAATGCCTGCAAGAAACATCGCAAGCTTCGTCCGTTACTTCAATATGTTTGAATGCTATTAACCGTCCGTGAGGCAAATCCATCCTAAATTTATTATCGACCAAGGAAAAAAGCATTCGACAGCATGAGAAGACAAAGTGAAATCAGCTTCTGCCAGATCCCAAGATATGCAGCGCAAATCACAAGATCCCAATGTGAATGTTCAAATCCCGAGATCTTGGGACAAATCCCAAGGAATGGCATCGCTGCGCATGGAAGCTTCACTCGCATCAATCAGTGACTGGTTCTGTCTTCACGCCCTCAAGCTAAACGCAAACAAAACACAACTCATGGTTTTTGGCAGCAGACAAAATTTACGGAAGGTACCCGACTTCAGCGTCTCTCTTCGTGACTCTGTGTTGCAGCCAAGCGAGCAGGTGGGGAATCTGGGTGTTGTCTTTGACAGCGCCCTGTCCTGGGAAGCACATGTGTCCGAGCTTAGTCGTCGGTGTACTGGCTTGTTGATCGGACTGTCTCACGCACGAAATTGTCTCCCTGACGGTGTCATTAAAGTTCTCGTGACATCTCTGGTCACATCACGAATCAACTACTGCCTCACTGTGTACGGTAACGGGACTCAGAAAAATTTTGACCGACTCCAGAAAATTTTGAACTTTGCCGCTAGAGTGATCTTCGGACGGCGTAAGTTTGACCAAGTCTCGGACCTGCGCGACAGACTTGGCTGGCTATCACCAAAATCCATGTCAGATTACCTGACACTCACGATCGCGCAAAAGGTCATTAAGCATGAAGAGCCTGAGAACCTCGCTGCACTGTTCGTCCCTAATCAAAATTTTCGAGACAGGCACACACGGCAGGATCATCTCCTTCATCTTCCCCGACCGAGGCTTGAAACCGGAAAACGGCGTTTTGAGTACCGCGCCGCGGCGCTGTTAAATAGCCTCCCACCCCAGGTAGTGCAGCTGCCACCTGCCAGCTTCGCCCGGTCTGCCAGGGCCGCGCTGATTAACAAATCCCCGCTACGCCGCTGACGAGTCTGTTTAGTAGTAGACGAGGCATGCCGCCAATAGGTGGACGATCTGTTTGTGCTTATGTATATATATATATATATATATATATATATATATATATATATATATATATATATTGTTTGTCTTATGTACATATGTGGATGATTATTATCGCGACCCCCATCGATGGATGACTGTCGTCTAGTGCTGAGTGTTCTTCCCCCTGCCCGCATGACTGTTACCCATTATACTCGGATCTAAGCCGTAATCGCCACGCCATATATGTGGAAGGCTTTTGGTGTCAATACATACATACATACATACATACAACAGGAGTGGGGGAGTGGGGGAGAAGGATTTGACTATCCTTAGGATGGAAACGACGGAACGGAAGAAGGGTGTGGCCAAAGACGCAGTTCTCACCCATGCGAAGGCGGATGATTCACTGATTAGTAAGGTGTCTGCAGGAAAAACATAACTTATACCTATTTCTTTTGTATTTTGCCACATCCAAGATACCTACTTCAGAGACGAGTCATTCCGCGTGTCCAAGCTACTGTATGGACTTTCAAAATAAAACCTTGTATGAATCTTTCAAGTAGCGACAGCTGGCTGTTCTTCTTTCTAATAAATAGTATTCCATGAACGCTTCGGCTCCTTGGTAGTTTAGAGCCAGACTGGTAGGTGGCGCTACGGTCGCCGTCCGTGGCCGGCGGTGGCCCGTAATATGCCATTCAATCACTAAAAATACCCACAATAGGCTAGTGTAACTTTCATATCAATCGCCCAGGGTTAGCGAAGCACGTTCAGTGGTTGCAATAGACAGAACAGTGACCACTATCCTACAGATAGCCGCGCTCGGTCTTCTGCAGCAGCTCGTAGGGTTCGTGCGACTCCCGGACCACCGTGACCTCATCGATGACGGCTGTGGCGCCCTCCTGGGTGGTCTCCACCTGCTCGATGGACATGTGGGTGGCGTTGTGGAACGTGAAGCGGGAGTAGCCGTACTCCAGACTCCGGAAGGCCGTCCACGGCATCTTGATGGAGAATGGGGACAGATTCTCCTGGCAGCCCTGCAGGTAGAACACAGGAACCGTAAAAAAGATAGCCATCTTGCGGTCGTTATGGTGTTATTGCGCTGCATTTTCAGGTGAATCAACGTAACATGCTCATTGCTCAGCTTACTCAACGCTCTTAAAAATCATAAAACGGATTCTTTTGATTATTGCAAATCAATCCTATTTTGGACTTTGGTCATAGTTCATCTACTGATCTAAATATTTGATTTTTTTCTTTTAAAATCTTATTATTCTAATTGTCCATGGCAGCAGTGTATTACGCCTCTGTACAGTCGTGTATGCTGTACAGCGTACCATTGGTACCTCCTCTGTACCACGTACCGCTGACCCGGTGACGATGTGTACGGGCGCGCCCGGGTTACGGTACGGATTGTCGTCCGTCCCGTTGTAGATCCTGTAGTTATACAGCGGCCACATGCGCTCGTACGAGTGCTCGTGGCCCCAGACGGCCAGGTCGACTCCGTACTGCATCAGCAGGTCCTCCAGACCGGGACTGGGGAGGAAGGAGGGGGGGGGGGGGGCGAGAGGACGGATCAGCAATGGGAAGACTCGCTATGAAATGTTAACCCGGCACCGCCTGGACTATTTCCGCACCCACGACAGCCTGGGGGGGGGGGTCGGATCCGACCCCCCCTGTTATCTCGAGAACCAATGGTCGTATCGAGCCCCGCGAGGCGGCGTTCGAAAGGTCTCTACGAGACCTTCCCAAAGCACTCTTAAGATTTTAAGATTGAGGTCAACTTTCGGGTCAAGGTCAGGTCAAATATCAAATTCAGGGGTTTTGCATGATTAGGCTTACGGACAGCGGAATCGATAGCTGCTGCTCGAAACTCACAAAAAATGACCTCAAAGGCCTAGTGAAGGTACCATGTGCGTATAAGGGTCATACTAAGTACGGGTCAAGGTCAGGTCAGGTCACGAAAGGTCACGGTTTTCACTTTCTGCTACATGGGCGTGCGACACATGTTTTATGGCTTATTTTTCACGCCGAATCCGATGGTAATTGTTATATGTATGTAACCCCAAGTCACTGTGCTGGTGATAAGTGTGCATTGAAAGCATAAAAAATCGTTTATATAGTTTTAAAATATAGTTTAAAATATTATTAAAATATTATTAAAATATAGTAAAAAATAGTTTTTTGAATTTTTAGGGGTAAAAAAACGCATTTTATGGAAAATCCGAGATAGCCATTTAGAAGAACTTGTTGAGCTGCGTCTTTTCATGTCCTTAATTTGCGATTTGCTTAAAACCCTGATTTTTGGCGATTTTTTAAACATTTACCACTTTTTGACTAAAAACGCCATGTAGTTACATCACTAAAATCGATATATCTCAGAAAATTTTGGATATTTTTTCTTAAAAATTGCACAGGAGACGTCAAATCGATGGAGGAGAAGGTATGCCAAGTTTCAAGTAGATAGCAAAAGTGGTTCATGAGTTATTCAAGAAAAACGGAGGGGGGGTCGGATCCGACCCCCCCCCCAGGCGGTCGCGGGTTAACGTGTTAGGGCTCCTGTATTTCCCACGTTTACGTTTTCAAGCTCATCTTTGCTGAGTCTGACCATCATCATAGCCCGTGCTCTCGAAATCGGACAATTATAAACAGAACTTACAGGGTCCAAAAACACGTATAGTTATATTCATGACATACTGACGAAAAGGCACATTTTAATTCCCAGCAGTTGTTTTCATCCTTAGCTGTGCGTCATCTACTCACATTGGCGGTTCCAGGTCTGGAGCGCCCACTCTGACCCTGTCATGCACCTTGGTACAGTCATCCTCGTCCCGGTTGGTGCAGTACATGGGACGGTGTCCGTACAGGACGATCCACGGTCGGGCGGCTCGGGCTGACGGCTCAGTGGCTGCCTGTGGACAACATTTGGTCGGTTGATACGTGATAGTTATATCGTATGTAGAGGGTGGCTAAGGTGACACTGACCTGACTTTTTGTAAAATACTCTATAAGAAGAGTCAGTATCAGAAGGAAACTCCTGTAAAAGAGTCATGCAATCCAAAAACAGCATTATGAAGGGTGTTAACACCCTAAAAGAGTATTGCTTTTCTTATTATTCCTTATAAAATCGCTATTATGTGAGCCTTTTCGCTGGATGCTTAAAAGCTTAGCTATGGTTGAAAGCGAAAGAAGTCGAAAAAATGGTACATACAATGTTTTCGACGAAGTAGTGAACGAATTGCTTAGTTTACCTAGTTACTTACCTCGAGGTCGGAGACCAGCCAGTTATACTGCGAGAACGCCTGGTCTGTGCCGTAGCCGGTGAAGTAGTAGAACTCGGTAGATATTGAGATGAAGTGGACAGGACCCATGTCGAAGCTGTAGTACATGCTTTCCGTCCCACCAGGCATACTGAACCTATTCAGCAGAAGAAAGAAAGGAAACATCGCTGGCATGTCTATTCTGACCTCACCAGCTTTCATTTTGTGCCAAAACATAGTAATATTGCTCTGTTTGGTGGAAATATGTCAAAAGAAACCGTCAATATGTAACAATAAAGTTGCACACCGCGAATTTCACCTGTTTTTGTAGTTGGAGAAGTTGGCGTACTGCTCGTGGTTTCCGGGACAGGTCATGTAGGGCAGGTGGGCGGCCACCGGCTGGATCTGACGCATGAACGTGTCGCCCACCTCGCCCTCCTGGTCGTACATGTCGTACCCAAAGTCGCCGACGTGCAGCACCGCGTCGTACATCTCATCGTAGGTGTCGTTCACAATGAACGGCAGCGCAACACCGTTCTGAAGACCACACACAAATTGTGTCATAAAAACAAGAGCTGCCATGCCGTGTCCGTCCGTTAGCAGCTGCCTAAACACCTGTCCTTATACGGCTACCCACGTAAATACATCTGCTTACGTACAGCTGCCCGCATACAGCTGCCTTAGCACAGCTGCCTACACACAAAATGTGTCAACGTACCACCATGCCCAGGTCTCCATAGACGGCCAGCCGGGGGCTCCAGTCGCTTCCCTGCTGCATGGGTCGGAACCAGAACACCTCGGACCATCCGGCCGGACCGAGCACCTGGTAGACGTGCCGCTCCCCCGGCGACAGACCGGTCAGAGACACGCTGAAAGGTCAACCAACGACGTCAGGGAAATAAAGATGAAGTTGTGAAGATGTATGATGTAATTATTAGTCATACATGATAAACGAAGAGCCCACTATTGCCCGTATACTGTATTTTTTATTTCGCTTCGTGGGCGGGGTACGAACCCCCTGTCGTTCCTATCCCACTTTGCTAAGGGGATCCGAAACATCGCAAGATCCGAAACACAAACCAAGCACCAAATCTGGCAGAATTATGAATCGAACCCGCAAGAACTCGGGAGCTTACTAATTCCCGAAGTTTTGTTCTCCTACGTTAGAGTTCCTGGCAAAGAGCATTGGAAAATCGCAGCATTTTTATTCATGCAGAAGATTACTTACTTACGAGTTCACTTACGAGGTCAGCGACCTTGCCTGACTTTGATATGCAGTTTGAGTGATATGGTTTGGCTTATCGAAAGTCAGGTAGATTGGATTTCAATTATATCTGTCATAGATAACACAAATATATAGATTCACGTTGTCTATGTATCAATCGACATATCCTAACGCGTGTTCCGAACATTCGCGAAAATTATTATCACGAATGACACTATACCCACGGCGGAGGAAGGGTAACAATTGACCATAAGATAACAACAATAACAAAATTATCATGCTCATTACTCAATGTGAAGTGCTCACCGATTTATGTACTGGAGATGAGTTCCGTTGTCATCCTGAGCGAATGGAGTGGAAACTCCTTCCACCTGGCAAACACATACGACCATAAAATAGGAGACGGATCTGGACCATGACCACGGCGATCATGTAATGACAGCATACAAATGTCCCAGGTATGAGGTAATGCACCATGCTGTAAACGGCATGAGATGTTGAGTCGGTTGATGTGTTGCATTGCGTTATGTTGTTGGTGTTGTTGGAATGGATAGGTACTTAACAGTGCAGCGTGGCGATGCTGTATCTTATGTCATAGCGAATATAAGGCATGCTGGTGAGTTAAACAAAATACATAAATAAAACGAAACATGTGCGTAAAAACATGTGCATGCACATAAAAATCAAAATTTGCCAACATACAACATCCACATTCCACAACCATGTGTACCAAGCTATCAAATTCACTCGCAATTCAATACAACGAACGCTACCTGGCGTCTCTCCTAAAACCGTAGGAATAAAGATTCAAAATTCTGGTGCTGTTTTAGCGTTTGAAATTCCGTAGCTTTCCGGCACCCGTTTATCAATATACCATCTGGGCATCCTCAGAAACCCGTTATGACGCTACCCGACACTGGCCAGTACCCCAACTCCCCAGGCATTTTTTAAAAAGACATTTGCACTATTGCAAATGCACACAGTTTTGACAATATCTTTATAAACACATCCGTTTGTTACCAATGAGCTAAAGCATGAGATTAAGTAGTGTAAGGGAAACGCAACAATTTATAACATGAATCATTTCTTTCCCCAAAGATCTTTGTCCTGTTCTTCTTGCCCCGTTTCATCCTTACCAGTGTGTCGGGCTGGTCTCTTCCGTATCTGGCCGAGGCCTTCACCGGCTGGAAGGTGCTGTAGGTGACCTGGATGGTGGTGACGTCATCGGTGAAGGACAGGTGAATTTGTTCGGCGCCGCTGTTGTCGGCTACCGAACACACTCCTCCCAGCAGAACAGCCGCCACCAGCAGCAGAAACAGCGGTGATCGGGACAGTAAATTACGATAGGAAAACATGATGTTTGTGTGCTCCTGTCTGAAGAAGAAAGCACCGTGTCAGCTTAGGTGATTTGTTATATAAATTAACACCTTATCCAGGTGTTAGTACGTAAATAAAGATAAAGTATACAATAAACACTTCATATTAGGCTCGTAATTGATAGACTTGCCCAAAAACGCAAAGAATCCCTCGCTGACCGCCTGAACCATTCACCTGTTTGAACTCTGGGTGCCGACTGCTGACAGAGCTCCCTCCACGACGCGACACATACGCCCGGCTGAAGATAGGGCTGGATGCGTTCACCAGGGTACCGGACCAGTCGGCACAGTCCGCCTCAGCTATCGTGAGAACGAGCGGACGGTTCCGCATACGTCACACCCAGGCTGTCCGCCATCCTCGACCGCGGCGTGGTTTGATATCTGCTAGCGCTTGGTAACACAGGCCATCCTTGAAACAGGCGTGATTTCTGATATTGTGCTCTATACAGGTAAAAAATATAAGAAGCAAGAAAATTTACTGATTCTAAATTTTGCCAGATGAGCTATTATATTTGTCAATTCAAGATTTTGCGGCTAATGTGGTGACACATTTCCGTTTTTACGGCTACTCAGGATACCCTCTGATACCCTGACTAAAAATCGAAATTAGTTCACTGTTATGTGTGATGGCATATTGTCACAATATTCCTCCAATTCGATCGCGATGATAGAGGAAATACGCGAGTGTAACGAAGGCTTACTTTTCCACATAATCGCTGGCTTGCAAGCATGTTTTCATAGCCCTGGGAAGAATCCTTACGGACATGGAAAAGACGGTATTTATATCGGACACATTCCTAATCATATGTTGCCCAACGTTCTTTTTTATTATTTCTCTGCTGCCGTATTTTTCTTTAAATTTTCGAACGCCATAAACACGTATCTCATATATCGTTCCCTATAATTTCCGGAAAAGGTAGTTCTGCCTCAGAGGGGATGATAATGGGCGGGTTCTTACCTGGGGGAGATCCGCCTGGAGCCCAACACCTCTGGTCACAGTTTAGACCCGGCCGCCAGTCGCTGCCGGACCGCCGCTGCCGAGCCATGCTGTCCCACTGCCCTCCGTGGAGTGTCCTGTCCCGCCGGACAGTTCCGGCGAGTGTCCTGTCCCGCCGGGTCCCGGGGAGTGTCCTGTCCCGCCGCTTTTCGGGAAGTGTCCTGTCCCGCCGGGCAGTTCCGGGGAGTGTCCTGCCCCGCCGGACAGTTCCGGAGAGTGTCCTGTCCCGTCGTGTCCCGGACCGTGTCCCATCCCACCGAGCCGCCGCTGTGGGCCGTGTCCTCTCCCACCGTGTCCCGTGCTGTGTCCCATCCCACTGCCCCGTCGCTCTGGGCTTTCTTCTGCCACTGATCACGCTGCTTCTGGTTGCTGAAAGCGCTGCTCACGGCAGCAGTCAGTCGTCGCTAACTATGCGACTCTCCTCGACCCGATCCGGCCACTGCCAGGTGGACCGGGCAATGGTCATCGCTCAGAAACGCCAGAGCTCCGACTGTAAGTCACAGTGACGGGTGGTATAGGGTTAGTGCAATGGAAGTGCGGTTTATTTGTCGATTTGTGCGAACGATATTTTGCTACAGTTAGAGTGGGCTTGTAGAGTTGGAGTGCGCAGTGGGCTCATAGATCGAAGCATTTTTCAATTGAAAGGCTTTTCCTTTCGAGAGCACTGGGCTGCTGTACGTTGTAGTAGTGTAACTTCTTGGTTTTTCGGGTTGTAAAAAGCGTGGGTTAGGCCAGGTACGTTTTTACTATATAAGCGTTATTTCTGATGCCAGGGGTGATAACAATAATGTGCTATCCCAAAATATAGCATGGCATTGAATTGGTAATGTCCTTCTGTTCCTATTGTAAAACGTAAGCACCATTACACCTGTGTACAACAGCTCCACATTACATCAGCTCCATTACACCTGTGTACAAATAGCCATGCATGCGCAGCTGCATCATGTACAGGGATTGGAAACTCGAAGCAAAAAGAAAAGTGCATGTCCATTGGACACCTTATAACGACGTTCTACTACGCTGCCCATCACCGTTTGCCTCCGTTTCCCTCGCCCTCGAGGTCTGTGGACTGACGGTGGTACCGGCGCCCTGCAGGCGGCTGTTTCCTGTCCTGTCTGGCCTGCAGTCGCTGCTGGGCGGCCGTCTACACGCCGGCCAATCACACCTGCCAGCTGCTGTACAAACGTGTCAACGTCTGTACCACCTACAGCGACGGCTCCAACTGCCTGGCCGAGGCCGGCGACGGTCCGCAGCTGGTGGCCAATCGACTCAGTGAGTCGGATAGCGGCGGTTGACCGGGGGGGGGGGGGGGGCACTGCTGTGTGTGGCTGACCTGGGCGCGCGTGGGCTGACCTGAAGGCACTGCATATGTGCGGCTGACCGGGAGGGGGGGGGGGGGGGCAATACTGCGTGCGGCTGACCGAGGGCATTGCTGTGTGCATCTTAGCGGGGAAATGTTCGTCTTTGGTTTTGGTAGTTCTCCCATGAGGTGGCGGTTTCTATAATACACCAGGACAATGGCTGGTAGGAGACGACTGACGGAAAAGTACTGACAGACGACTATGAAAAGGCGACATTGCTAAACGACTACTTTGCCAGTCAGGCAAAGCTCGACATTCCAAATTCGCACACCCTACCAATGGACAACATAAGACACACGCCGATTCCTACCCTCGGTACAATTGAGACAACTGAGAGAGAAGTCCTACGAATCTTAAATTCCCTTGACTCTAATAAATCCACGGGCCCGGACAAAATGCCAGTAAGAATATTAAAACTATCTGCACTCATCATAGCAGGCCCACTTTCGAAATTGTTTAACAAGTCTCTCGCTTCTGGAATTTATCCTTCAACGTTTAAACAGGCTAATGTAAAACCTATATATAAAAATAATGGATCACCATCTGATTATACCTGCTACCGACCCATCAGTCTTTTATCTTCACTCTCAAAAGTTTTTGAAAAAATTGTCCACAAACGCATTTATGATCATTTAACAGAACATTCCATATTGACTGACAAACAGAGTGGATACCGGAGAAAGCATAGCACAGAACAACAGTTACTTTATTTGACCCATAACATGCACAAATCACTCGACTCAGGACATGACTTCACAGTAATTTATCTGGACATATCAAAATATTTCGACAAGATCTGGCATCGAGGACTATTGGGGCATTCCAGGACGATTCAACAGGTGCATAACACCCGACCCCCTCAGATTTGCTTCTAAATTGCTGTACAGGGTTATTCTGTGCCCAGAAGCCGAATCTGAAATTGTCAGACCCGTAGAAGCAACAGTTTTTGAGTTATAGCATTGGGAAATTTTGGAAAGTTAAAAAACATCATTGTATTTTAGTAGCTATATCTAATCGAAAACGTTTTTTAAAATATAAAAATTATACATATTTGAACTCGCCACATCACAAGCTTTCAGATGGTATGCAATTTTTTTCAAAATTTTGAATTTTTAATTTTCAAAAAATTGTTCAAAAATTTCTTTCAAATTTTTCAAAGTGTGGCCAGTTGAATAAAATTTATTTTTTTAGCTTTTATTAATGCTTAGGGTATTGGGAAACTATATTGTGAAAATTGGAGATAGGTATTTTTTATAAATATTTTATTTCATTTTTTTACTTTCTCCATGTAAATATACCATTTTGCTTTGATATGGTGCCGACGGTGCTATCTCGGGAACGGATGATCGTAGCGCGCCGGACGAGGCGGCAATGGAAAGATCTCAACAAGATGGATCTAGACATTGTCCGAATGTTGTTCTTAAAGGTCACGGGTCAGGTCAAGGTCAGGTCACGAAAGGTCATGATGAATAAAAAGGGATTATGTGCATGCGACACATGTTTTATGGGTTATTTTCCAATTCAAAGTCAATGATGATGGGCATTTGACGATTCGGGACAAAATCAGGTCAGTTCAGGTCAGGTCACGGTCAGGTTAACCAATCCCTTGTTCAACGAAGGAAATACAACACACATTTTGGTGACCAGCTCGTTGAAATGTATTGGGCACACATATCACCAACAATACAGTGCACAGACAGCCACCATACAGACACACGGCAGGGGTGCTAGCAAGTCTACGCGGGCTCACCTTCGTCTTTTCGGTGCCCTACTGCGGTGCACTTTCACCAGCCGGCCTGGTCCCCTTGACAACTTTGAGACTCGCAGTGTCTCGTGGTTGACCGGAATAAAGCTGTGCAGACTCTGCGTGCCTTTCACTGCCACCGCTTTGCTGAAACGCTCCTTGAGGTGTTCTGCAGCTTTTTCGACTTCGACCCTCGACACGAATACAAAGTTCACTGTAGTCTCGAATTTGTCACTTAAAAACTCAAACATTTCGGTCGCGTTTGTGATTTGCTCCCTTGTGGGCCTGCGTAGACTCTCGAGAGCGGTCGCTCTCTTCACGGTGCCTCCCACGTCGTCACATGCGCCTTTCCCGTGCGAGGTGGCAAAAAATTGCCAGTCGCAGTCTAGCCCAAAGTCACTTTTGTGAGCGCAGATATTTGAAAAGTTGAAGCGGTTTTTGTACTGTGCTGCTGAGCCGTCTGAAAAGTATCTGATTTTAGTCAAAGACGGAATTTTTTCCTTCAGTCGTGGAATCAGAGCCTTTTGGAAAGCCCTGGCGATTGCCCTGGCGAGGCTGGTGCTGACACGTTCTTGAGCCTCGTCCTCCACGACGAGGAGTGTGTGACCATGGACCATATGTATAAACAGTGGGTTAGCACCGACCGATGTGAGCTTATTGATGTGCGAAAGGACTGGGATGATTTCATTCACGATCTATCTGTGTCAGTGGTGAAGCTCACCAACCATCACTATGTAGCAATCCGACAGAGTAGGGCATTTAAGGAGTGTAAAGAAAGTGTTGTGGAGGGAGAGGCCGTTGTCGTTGGGGACTTCAGTGAGAACTATACGTTCGTCATACAGGATGAGGTGCAGAGTCATCACTGGGACGCGCCACAGTGCACCGTTCACCCGTTCGTGGTGTACTGGAGGGAGAATGGAGAGGGACAGCACCAGAGCTTCTGCATTATCTCAGATAACCTAAAGCACAACACGACCACTGTCCATGCTTTCCAAAAGGCTCTGATTCCACGACTGAAGGGAAAAATTCCGTCTTTGACTAAAATCAGATACTTTTCAGACGGCTCAGCAGCACAGTACAAAAACCGCTTCAACTTTTCACATTTCTGCGCTCACAAAAGTGACTTTGGGCTAGACTGCGACTGGCAATTTTTTGCCACCTCGCACGGGAAAGGCGCATGTGACGGCGTGGGAGGCGGAGAGTCTACGCAGGCCCACAAGGAAGCAAATCACAAACGCGACCGAAATGTTTGAGTTTTTAAGTGACAAACTCGAGACTACAGTGAACTTTGTATTCGTGTCGAGGGTCGAAGTCGAAAAAGCTGCAGAACACCTCAAGGAGCGTTTCAGCAAAGCGGTGGCAGTGAAAGGCACGCAGAGTCTGCACTGCTTTATTCCGGTCAACCACGAGACACTGCGAGTCTCAAAGTTGTCAGGGGGACCAGGCCGGCTGGTGAAAGTGCACCGCAGTACTGGGCACCGAAAAGATGAAGGTGAGCCCGCGTAGACTTGCTAGCACCCCTGCCGTGTGTCTGTATGGTGGCTGTCTGTGCACTGTATTGTTGGTGATATGTGTGCCCAATACATTTCAACGAGCTGGTCACCAAAATGTGTGTTGTATTTCCTTCGTTGAACAAGGGATTGGTTGACCTGACCGTGACCTGACCTGAACTGACCTGATTTTGTCCCGAATCGTCAAATGCCCATCACCATTGACTTTGAATTGGATAATAACCCATAAAACATGTGTCGCATGCACATAATCCCTTTTTATTCATCATGATCTTTCGTGACCTGACCTTGACCTGACCCGTGACCTTTAAGAACAACATTCGGACAATGTCTAGATCCATCTTGTTAAGATCTTTCCATTGCCGCCTCGTCCGGCGCGCTACGATCATCCGTTCCCGAGATAGCACCGTCGGCACCATATCAAAGCAAAATGGTATATTTACATGGAGAAAGTAAAAAAATAAAATAAAATATTTATAAAAAATACCTATCTCCAATTTTCACAATATAGTTTCCCAATACCCTAAGCATTAATAAAAGCTAAAAAAATAAATTTTATTTAACTGGCCACACTTTGAAAAATTTGAAAGAAATTTTTGAACAATTTTTTGAAAATTCAAAATTCAAAATTTTGAAAAATTTTGCATACCATCTGAAAGCTTGTGATGTGGCGAGTTGAAATATGTATAATTTTTATAGTTTAAAAAAAGTTTTCGATTAGATATAGCTACTAAAATACAATGATGTTTTTTTAACTTTCCAAAATTTCCCAATGCTATAACTCAAAAACCGTTGCTCCTAAAGGTCTAAAAATCTCAGATTCGGCTTCTGGGCACAGAATAACCCTATACAGCAATTATGAAGAAAATCTGAGGGGGTCGGGTGTTAATTTGCACCCATGAGCTGTTGATTCGTCCTGGAATGCCCCTATTACACAAATGCAAACACGACTTTGGCATAACTGACTCACTTTTAAATTGGTTGACTTCCTACCTAAGTGACAGACGACAACGAGTACAAATAAATAACACCTTTTCGAACCAACAAATTGTTAATGCTGGCTGTCCTCAAGGTTCTGTACTCGGACCCCTCTTAGCCTTAATGTATCTTGACGGACTTCAACAAAACATTGACAATGACATTCTACTCTTTGCAGACGACACATCTCTTCACGCACCGCACTCAACGACAGACATTCACGATGTAGAACTTTCACTTCAACGCGACCTTAACAAAATATATGAATATGGTCGAGAATGGGCAATCACATTCAACACAACAAAAATAGTCCAGCAAACTTTTTCACGTAAAAATAATTTCATAACACCACGTCTCACATTTGGTGGGAATCCCATACCCATTCATGAAAATCACACCCACCTGGGATTGACATTCTCCAATGACCTACATTTTCACCATCACATCAACCAAATTTGCAAAAAGGTCAACAAAGCATTAAGCCCACTATATCCAATTGCACAATACGTACCCAGGCCCATTCTCGACCAAATTTATAAGACATATATCAGACCACACTTCGACTATTGCGACACAGTATACGACGGACATATCACGACACACGACGCCATGCGACTCGAGAGACTACAAAACAGAGCGGCAAGACTTGTGACAGCAACCTTATTTAGGACACCAACGGACAAGCTTTTACTCGACTTAGGTGGGATAGACTATCGACAAGAAGACGCATGCATAAAATAACACTTTATCACACATTTAACGGTCACGACGAGCATATACCACACTATATAAAAATGATAATGCCACACACACGCGCTGAAAATACCGGACGAATCTTAAGAAACGCCAGTGCACACACAACGACGCCTAGCCGCACCACTTCTTACTACAGTTCATTTTTTTTCCATCGACAGCTAAATACTGGAATGATCTCCCTGAGTCCACCCGATCCCTGACACGAACATCCTTCAAAAAGACGATTTCTGAGCGGCTGGGGGTGACCAAGCCTCCAAAATTTTACATAACTGGGTCTAAATTACGAAATACTCTGCACACAAGACTAAGAACCGGAATGAGACGCCTTAACCCGCGCGGGGCTGGGGGGGTAAATTTTACCCCCCCCTCGCGAATTTTTGCGATATCTCAAAAACGGCGGCGCGCAGCGCCGCCAAACTTCCAGTACCTTTTTTTACATCAATTTGACACGTTCCCTGAAAATTTGAGCGAAATCCGTCGCAAATTTTTTGAGAAATTGACGTTTTAGTGACGTCATGTTCGCCATTTTCGCCTCAAAAACGGCAAAATTTCAAACGCCGCTAACATCTTCATTTTTAAAGGAATCAAGACGTAACAAAAAAGGTTATACGTAATTTTACTTTGTCTATCAAATGGCTATCTCGGTTTTCTGAAAATTTTGGATTTTGGCCTAAATTTTTTCAAAAAACTGACTTTTTTGGGAAAATCATTATAAAATCCAAAATTTTGAGTCTATCGAAAAAACCGGAATATATGTCAGAGAAGTGGTCTATGTGCACCTACATACCAAATTTTAGAAGAATCGGTTCAAAAATGTGGGAGTTATTCAAAATTTTATGACGTCACGACACACAAATTTTTTGAAAAATGACTTTTTTGGAAGTTCTAGATCTCGTACGGAAACAAAAATAGCACCATTCGATACGCCGTGAAAAACTGCATCAGATAGACACCTTTTTAGGCCTTAACAACCAACTTCAAAATTTGACCTCACTTGACCTGACCTTGACCTGACCTCGACCTGAAATTCATCCAGAGGTGGTCCATATCACTTATTGAGTGTGCCTATTGAATTCTATGAGTAAAATGACCCATAAAACATGTGTCGCACATGCCCTTTTCTATATTTTGTTTTTTGGTGACCTGACCTGACCTGACCTGACCTGACCTTGACCTTGACCTCTGAATGATATTGTATGCAACGAATATTGTCTTGGTAGCCTAAGAACACGTTTTGGGCGATCAGTCTCAGTCCATGACTCCATTCTTCGGCAACTACGGTACAAGGCCGATACTGTAGAAACTTGCAATTTGTACCCTTGACCTGACCTTGACCTTGACCTCAAACTTAAAAGTAAGTACATGTTTTTAGTAGTTCGTGATGAGAGCTTTCGATTGGCGTTTGAATTTTCCAAATCGGACCATTAGTTCGGGAGATAACAGGGGGGGGTAAAATTTACCCCCCCCCCCCCAGCCCCGCGCGTTCGGCTGGAGACCCCAGCCCCGCGCGGGTTAACTCCCATCTCTTCCAAATTCAAAAAAGTGAAACGTCTGTGTGTGCTTGTGGCTTTCCAAGCGAGAACGTTCGGCATTACATTCTAGACTGTCCATTATTTGAACCACTAAGGCTTGATTTGTTTCAAACTATATACGATCAATTAGGTATTGAGTTCAATGTAATTTCTCCAAAACAAAAACTTGACATTCTGATTTACGGTGAGACTCTGGACGATGAGAGCGGCAGCGTAGTCGCACATCTCTTTCAAAAATTCATTTTAAAATCGAACCGATTTACAGCTCACTGAACAGTACGACATTGACCTAGGGGATCAGGCCGCGGTTGGTCGTGGCGCTCCGGGCTGACCGTGCTGTGGCTCGCGCACGCTGCTCTACTGCTCGGTGTCTGTCGTGGCGGCGACAGCCAACTCGTATGCTTTATGCTACGCCTGTCAATGTTTTTCTATAGCTCATGCTTAGAATCTCATCTGGCTGGAGTTTTTTTTTTTCGTTTGTTTGCATTTTCGTTCAGAGTGATGCTTAAACTCAAGCGCTCTGCGCTTTTGCATCCCTCTGCCTCATTCTTCCAGAATCTTTCTGTCTCTGCTAATAAACATTGTGTGTGTGTGTGTGTGTGTGTGGGTGTGTGTGTGTGTGTGTGTGTGTGTGTGTGTGTGTGTGTGTGTGTGTGTGTGTGTGTGTGTGTGTGTGTGTGTGTGTGTGTGTGTGAGACAAACTTGTTTTTTTATCCAAGGGGCATAAGCCGTAAGATTATATTTGTTTGCAGAAAGAGATATTCAATGGCTTTAGATAAAGTGCCTAACTATAAATGCTATCGAGTAGAAGACCAACGCTGTACTTCTGATCAAGCTTATAAAGGTGCATGTATGCTTTCCTAGGAACCTGCTTACGTTCACATTACAATCATTTGAAAGTATGATACGTTTGTTCTCCAGCATTTTGACAGCGACATGTACCGCTTTCAGACACATATGCAGCAAGATATGGTTTGCGCTTTTGGTACAGCCACTGAACAAACGCAGCCCTAAAGATCTGCCAGCCACATCGAACGATAACATTGCACGAGTGCTTTACAGTGAGCGAGGTCCGTAGTGAGAAGCCAAGCCAATTCAACCACAGATGCACTGCGTTTAATTGTGAATGAACAGGTGAAAAATGTCGCTACCTCGGGCCTCGGTCATCACTCAAGTGCCATTCCTTCAATTGTTCTTCTTCATGTGAGCTGGTTATAGCGTGATAAATGAGAGTTGCTTGATTTTCGCTATTTTCACGTAGGTAAATAAGAAATGTTTATTTCAATTCGTTATGAATATGTAATGCCCTGCACTTTCAGAAACATGTGTGAGGGGCATGCAGTCCAATATACACCCTCATTTTACCTTTGACTTTTTTGGGGGGAGGGTTAATCTCTTTTGTCTGACAACACCGTTGTAAGGCCATAGGAAAAAATCAAAAGTAAGTACGTGATGCAACCACCATCAGGTGACCATCGCGACTGAGACAACTTTGAGCATCGCCACCCAGACGCGACAACGGGACTATTGCAAAGACCGGTCATCGGTGCGGCTGAGATAGACCCAAGTCCCACCAGCGGCAACGACCATCACTTTGGGATAGCTGAAATCGTGCCCTATACCTACCCACCCCGACGGAGTGACCGACTCCGGACCGAATGATTGCATGAGTCAACGACAGGGACATGTGAAATGTGAATGTTCTGAGGATGGAGGAGACGTCACTCAGTTCTTAAAGCGAACTTTTTTAGCTGAGCTGGCGTTTGTATTTTGTTCTTTTACGCATTTTCCACATTATTTTGAAAACCATGTAATTGTAGAATGCCCCTTCCTGACAACCAAATAGCAGCGTTTCCACTGCGCGTCACCAATCTCCTCCGCTAAAATATTGGGGAGATAAAGGAAGACCAGTGGCCAATCATTTAATACCACATGCCCGTCAGTGCAAGTGCTAAGTTTTAAATGAGCTGTGCTTATCCATAGTAAGCCAAGGGACAGGTGCAGGCCCGAACTTCGGCTACCAAAGCTCGTGAGCTTAGCTCCTGCGTTAGCGCACCAATGTGACACTCGCAAATATTTCTCCGTTAGGGACACCCTGGCAGTGTGATGTTGCAGATTGTGGTTTTTAAATCGAAAATTGTGAAGTGGAAGTGTGTGGTTGTGCAATTGTAGCGAAATGAAAAATACGCCTGTACGACACTGTCTATGTGGAAATCTAATTGCAGTAAAACATTGCATTAATTAAACAACGCAACCCCGGGAGAGATAACCACACCCACCCCCTAAGGTTTTTCGTAAATAGCGGTAAAACCTCGGCTCGTAGCGCTGCTGAATTTGGCATGATTTTTTCCTCATCAATTTTACACATTGTGTGCAAGGTTGAACCTCCTATCTTTCGAGGTCAGGTTATCAGGTCACTTTGAATGACCCAACCTTAAATCACTTTTTTTGCAACTTTGTCACCGTGTCAGAGCTACAATAGATAACGGAGGACTTTGAAAGTCGTTAGGATGTAATGAGGGCATTGATAGCTACATTTTTATGTCTCGGAGTTTTGATATCGATGACCTAAGGTCAGGTCAATTTCTTGACCTCCCATTACAAGTCGATGGGGGAAAAATGAACCTCCTGTTTTTTTTTATCTCACTAAAACGCGTCGGAGTGGCCCAATATACCATTGATGACTTCATATACGATTAACCTTGACTACCTTGAGACCTTTTTGCTTTTGGGGAGCTGTAAGGTCATGTGACGTCATCAAGGGTCACCAAAGTTTTTTTTTGCTAATGACTCATTACAGGAACGAGATACAGCCGCGCATACATCGAGGTCAACGCATATGTGATTCGATGCAGATTGACAAGAGGATCACGATGGCGTCATTAGTTAGTTCCGTGCTTGGCTACTTCGGAAGTTATCCGAGAAAAACTCTCTTTATTTCTAGCGCCGCCATTTTGACTTTTTTGACCCGTGTGACGTCATCTTTGACCTGACCTGAAAATAACTTTTGTAAAAATAGTAAAACTTGTCCGTGCGTATCCCATGCCGTTTACGGCTTGTCGCTATCTTGGTTCGTTCTCGATATCTCAGGGGGGGGGGCAACCGCCTCCTCCCCGTCGGGTATAAGTTGGCGCGTACCCCCGTCGGTGCGCGGGTTAAAACGCTCGAAATAAGGTCATCATTTGTTGCACAATGCGCATTCAATATATTGGTGCGAAGAAGAGCAATCATCAGAAGAAAAGTAAACATCTGTAACAATTACACATACATTATTTCGATGTTGCAGTAGCGGCGGAACATCTTCAATTAAAGGGGGGGGGGGGGCACCACCGACTTTTGGTCCCATTCTTTCCATGCAACACCCATAGGGCTAATGTTAAAATGCCACAATCAAAGGGGGGCACTGTGCCCCGGTGCCCTCCCCGTCCCGCCGCCTATGCGATGTTGCATGCATAATTAGTGTGCATGTGTAATTGGAATGATTTACAGCGATGAGCGAAGGTTAGTTCAGAGCCAGGTCCTTATTGGCCGTGTTGGCGGCTGACCGTACTCGCTCATTCGAGGTCACCACCGGCACCTGCAATGTGTTAGAAAAAAAAGCGTATCACTGTTCGAATATCATGAAATGTACTGATCGATGTCACTTAGATAATAACTGAACTTCATAACAGAGCATTCTTCAAATTTATAGGTTTGACAACTTTTAGCGTAAGGTAGAAACGTCCAAGACGCCCAGGGTATTTAAGACGCCCTATGTCCTTATTAGTTTTTGACACAACTGTTTCTTTTATTTTATCAACTTTACAGGTGGTAAAGCAAAATACTGAATTTGTATAATTTGAATGAATTTGTACGTTGTCTTTGTATGTACAATGTACATCGTGTCATCTGTCACTGTAAATAGCCAGAAACGCTACCGGCCAGCGTACAATCGCAGCTATCGCTGTAACCTGATTACTGCGTAGTTGTGATGCGCAGCTTGTGATTGCCACTCAGTGCCTTCTGTGTGTTTTCTGTCGGAACAGTGTCAGCTGGCCAGTGTGAGAGCCGGGGACGTTCAGTCCGCTCCTCCTGACCCGGTCACGAGACAGTCACGTGACGGTCCGATGCTGGTGAAAGAAGGGAGAGAAAGAGGCACCTACTAAAAACGTAGGGTGTCAAGGGGTGATGTGAGGGCACCAATGATGAGCGTGGAAATGACATCAGCGCCAAATGACATTTAGACCGTGTGTCACACGTCGTCTAAAAATGATATTCACACATGGCTCCATTTGCCGCTTGCTTTTATTTGTCTTATCAATAGCAGAATATGACTTCAGTAGCTTCCTTTCACCACTTTCTTGCAGTGAACATCTGCCTCGCACTGTTCGCACGCACTTCTAAAATGATTCTTTTGATCATATCATAGTTGAAGAGAAAATATTCTAGTGCCAGAATTACGAGTGACAAGCATATCGTAAGAGGCATGATCATCAAGACAGGAAACATATCTCCTAAAGTAACCTCTTTGTAGCCGGTTGGCGCTTCACAAACTACATTCTTGTAGAAGACCCACCTTTTCCACAAAGCCTCGACCAGCCCAACGTTTCCCATTTTCAACAGCACCCTGTTCAAGTCACGCCTAAGAACCGGTCTTCTTTTGGAAATGGCTATGAACGCATCCGCCTGCCTCGCTGGAGCGTACGGAACTGTGACGAACGAACACGCACCGTCGCCCAGAGAGCTGATCATCGTGTCGATACTGACGTATACCATGACCTGCCCTTCTGTGCTCTTGTGCGTACTCTCCGGAGAGCTGAAGTCGAACGGACGATATCCTTCGCCAGATGCCACACGTCGATATAGGTCGCGCTCGTACCTATCGCTGCTGAATTTCCAGTAGGCAAGAGAAGCATGGCCGGGAGTCACTGACAGCTTCCACTCGGGCTCTTCCGAGAAGTGTTTGAGGCTGACGATGGGAGCGTTGACGCCGCCAGTTGTCAAGTAGGAGATAAGGTTGGCCGTGTAGCCGGCGGTGATGATGATTCCCAACATCCAGCAGCATATGGTGATGATTCTGCCTGACAGGGATGTCGGCGTTGTTGTCCATCCTTGACCCGCTGCGGTCATGAAACACAGGAAGAGACACGACGGCCAGTCTGACTCTCTTTTTCCCAGTCTCTTCTTGCCCTTGCTGCTCCCCTCTTTCTGGATGACCCATAAGATAAGGGAGAGCACCAGAAGTGAGGCAAGAATCGTCCACCACACGTGGGCATGCAGCGGTTTCAGAAGAGCTTTGAAAAGGTTCCCTGTCAGCGAAAGCGTCTCGCCCTCGCCAGCACGGACGTAGAACCGGTAGGTGACCGAGTTAACGGGAAACGTGTCAAGGAAGTCCACGACCGTGGCTCTGGACGGTGTTATGTCCAGCGTCGTCACGGCGACATCAGCGCGTCCGTAGGCCAGCTCTCCGATCATGCCGGACCAAGTGCCGTTACGCAGTGCACCAAAGTCCCCGCTGAGGAGAGGCACCATCCTGAAGCGAATGTTGAGCGCACTGGCCATGATGCTCCAGAGGTCGTATAGATACCCGGAGCAGCTGGAGGAGCCGTCCGCGTGTCGGTCCACCACCATGTATGGCGGGTCGTGGACGGTCGTCACGATGAGCTCCGCTGTGGCGTTCGGTCCCACCACCTGATCAGGGTCTTCGATTGCCCAGGGTTTTCCCACGGACAGCAGGCCGCCAAACTTCTCCATTTCTTTTCAGCTAGCCTGCAAAGACGCACAAAAATGATTCAGCTGTTGACGACTGACGACAATTTGTGTTGAATTCAATCCATTTTCGTAGAAGTCAGGGAAGTATCTTTGTTTATCAATGCTTTCCTCGCTAAACAATCAGAAGGCCTTCAATCGCCGCCTACCTTATGTAGCAGTTCTTGATCACCTGTTGATGTGGTCACAACGGTTCCCTGTTGTAGACTGACCTCAGGTATTTTCTGTGAAACCGTCTGCATGAGTATCGAGCTCGCGACTTGCAATGCCCACGCTAACATTTTGCTGTGTTGACCGAAAGGGACGACCAATTCATTTTGCTGGCATTTGGCAAACACGATGACATAATGCATCCCAGGCGGGCGATTATGTTCAGTACACATGGAAAAGCATCAAAGCGACCGGTGACAGCGTTTTGTAGGTGAACGTGACGTGGAAACCTGCCAGTGTTGACGCAAGCACTCAACCGCTATTGGATAACATCACCAACCTTATCAACACCGACGCCCACCTCTTGTACTAATCCCCATCCGCACACAAAGCTCCCAAAAACAACCACAAACACACCTCTTTGACTCTCCACCTCCATTCACCATATAGCGCCCCCAGGCAGACACAAACACAGCCCTATCGCCGCCCCAGCCACCACACAGCACTCACCCCAAACAACCACAAACACATCCCAAGCACTATCCTCAGCCTCAGCCACCAACCGAGAGACAGAGACGAGAGGGTTGATTGAGGATATATCTGTACCACCAAGGGTGATGTCGAAACAGTTGAGACGAAAACAGCAAGGCAGAACACATTAAAGCTTCAACTAGTATCACTATATCTAATAAAAAAAAAATGTTGCGAGCATTTGTCAAGCTATATAAAATACCTATATTCCACACATACCCCATAAAATGTGATGATTTTCCTAGTTGATTATTTTCTCCTAGTATATCGTTCGTGTCTTTTCAGTCCGTAGGCCACATACAATGTTCGATGGATACCTCCTTAGAAACCACATCAATACCAATTTCCTGTAGTGCATTGGTGCGGACGCCTGCGCTTTTCAACTGATGACAGTCAACTGTATCGCTCTATTTGTTATCGCTCGTGCCTTCATTCTACCGCTTGGAAAGAGACAAATCGCCTTTCTGTGTTAGGATGATAGAGGTCACCACCACGAGGTCAATAATGTCGCAGTTCGCTGATAGCCCCTAGTGAAGACACTCGTCGCCAAGGAGAGGAGGCCCCAACCAGTCTGCGACAGAAAAGCGTCGTGAGCAGGTCAGCACGCGTCAAAGGTCGCAGAACATCCTTGATTTGGATCAAACGGGCCTGCAACAACTGCACTTTTGGCAGATTATTATAAATCATAACCGAATCTTGACTTTCAGCTGTCTTGAAATATAGGCTCAAAAAGATCATTAACTGCAAGCAGCACACCGCATTTTTTGTTCCGTGCAGCAAAATCAACTTCGTGGCGTCTTCTTGAGACGTCCAAGCATCAATAACATAATCAGATGGAGAAGTTTGGCAGCTTGCTGTCCGTGGGAAAACCATGGACAATCGAAAACCCTGATCAGGTGGTGGGACCGAACGCCACAGCGGAGCTCATCGTGACGACCGTCCACGACCCGCCGTACATGGTGGTGGACCGACACGCGGACGGCTCTTTCAACTGCTCCGGGTATCTACACGACCTCTGGAGCATCATGGCCAGGGGGGTGTCACTACTTTGCTTCGCCATAGGTCCAGTACTGATGTCATTGGTTTCGGACCCGGTGACGTCAGTGCTGGCTACATCCGGGAACTTCTTGCACTTGGTTCTCATTAGAGGTGGCCATATTGTTTTGTCCCGTGACGACACATTTGCGTCACTGAGTCCGAAACTGGCTGTAAACAAATCGCTCAGTGTCGCTACCTCCTATATATGGCCTTGATCATGGCCAGTGTGCTCAACATTCGCTTCAGGATGGTGCCACTGCTGACTGGAGATTACGGCTCGATGCATGAGAACGGCACTTGGTCCGGCATGATCGGAGAGCTGGCCTACGGGCGCGCTGATGTCGCCGTGACGACGCTGGATATCACACAGCAGAGAGCGACAGCCGTAGACTTTCTAGACAAATTTCCAGTCACTTCTTCTTATTACCGGTTTTATGTGCGTGCAGACGAGGAGGAGATCCCTTCTTTGACATCGAATCTATTCAACTCCCTTCTGAAGCCGCTGCACGCTCAAGTGTGGTGGGCGATTCTTGCTTGACTCGTGGTGCTCTCCCTCATTTTATGGGTCATCCAGAGAGGATGGAGCAGCAAGGAAAATAAGAGACCGACAGAAAGAGAGGCAGACTGGCCGTCATGTCTCTTCTTGTGCTTCATGACCGCAGCAGGTCAAGGATGGACAACAACGCCGACCTCCCTGTCAGGTAGGATCGTTACCATATGCTGCTGGATGCTGGGAATCATCATCACCGCCGGCTACACAGCCAACCTGATCTCCCACTTGACATCTGTCAGTGTCGACGCTCCCATCGTCAGCCTCAAGCACTTCTCGGAAGAGCCCGGGTGGAAGCTGTCAGTGACTCCCGGACATGCCTCCTTGGACCGGTGGAAGGCAAGCAGCGACAAGTATGAGCGTGAGTTGCACCGGCGCGTTATGTCCGGCCAGGATGTCGTCCCCCTGGACATAAGGTCGCCGCAGAGCGCCCGCAGGAGCACAGAGGGGAAGGTCATGGTGTATGTCAGCATGCCTGCGTTGACGAAGTCCCTGGGCGATGCCGCTTGCTCGTTCGTGCCGGTTCCGTACGCTCGAGGAAGACTAGCGGGAGAGTTCATGGCTATTTCCAAAAAGAGGACGTCACTAAGGCTTGAATTAAATGGCCTGCTGCTGAAAATGGGCAGTACGGGGCTGGTTAAAGGCTTGCGGAAACGATGGTTTTTCTCCACGGGCGTGATTTGCGAGCCCTCTAGTGGATACAAGGAGCTGACTCTAGGGGATGTGTTTCCTATTCTCCTGCTCGTACCAATGACGTTAGGCTTATCTGTTCTGATCCTCGTGCTAGAATGCTATTTCGTCAAGGGCAAAACTATCGACGAAATCATGAGGTGAAAACATCACTAGTGTGAAGGATGGAAAATAATCCACAAGTTTTAGTCAAATAAAGAATCAGCGCGTTTTTGATAATCATTGAATGCACTGGGAATGTATGAATGAACTTGAATTGATGGGCTTTTTCGGCTTTTGAGTTTAATTGAAAGCTGTTGTATGAACTAGGAAGTGAAGGTTTTGTGTACAACGACGGGAAAATACTATTCCCATTCCCAATTCCTTGTATGTAAGTGTGGCAGCCAAATATCCCGTCCGGCCACCCGTCTCTCCAGCGGCGGGGCGGGCGGCCGGTCGCGCCAGCACAACGCCGAGCGCGCCACCGCGCCGTCCCTTCCCCGCCCCAGTGGGGGTGTTTTCTGCGCACCTGTGTGTGCCGGACCTGACCACTCTCGCGGCGACACCCGTCGATAGCTTTGTTCACGGGGAACGTGGTCGGCGCGGCGGGCCCGGTTACGTTTGTTTAGCGCGCTGCGTCCGTCCCGCCGGCCGCTGGCGCGCTGCGTCGCGCCCTCTCTCTTTCTTTATATCCGGTTCGTCGCGTCCAGTTAGTTTGTCTAATACCGTTTGCTTTGCTCCCTCACTATCTCCCCTGTGTGTGACCCCATTGTCAGTCGTATTTAAACCTGCTGTAAACACCTCCCTCTCTCTGTTCTGTCTCAGTCGTCGCGCCGTGCGGTCGTTTCGCTCCGCTCGTCGCAGCCTCCGAGAAGTGTGATTGGCTCGGCCGAATCTGACTCTTAGCAATACAGACTGTGAAATCGGTGCAGTGGTGTGAAAAGAGAAGTAATCACCGAGAGCGAGGAGTGAGAGAATCAAGATAGCGGCACAGTATATTCCACTTACACTTCACTTAACTTACCCTTCAAACGCAGAATTATCCTCCTCCCCAGGGGCGTAGGCAGGGGGGGGGGCCACTGGGCCATGGACCCCCCCCCCCCCCCCTTGGGCGCCGAAGGCGCCCTTTGCGATTGGAGGGCGCCGAAGGCGCCCTCCAATCGCAAATGCAATTGTGATATAATCGAATCGAAAAACAATCGCGACTGGAGGGCGCCCTCCAATCGCGAATGTGTTTACAGGGAAAATACGGATGGAGGCCGCCCTCGGAGGACGCCCATTCCAAATACGCCCTCCAAATACGGTTGGAGGGCTCCCTCGGGCGCCCTCCAACCACATTTGTAGGCTGTAGCTCTCTAAGCGTAACGGTGGTCGCCTATGTAAGCCGCTGTCCTGTAAATAAGCGCCCTCTCACCCGAAGGCGCCCTCCTGTAGGTTGCCACCCTGCTACACATTGCCGCCCTTCTGCTGATCGGCGTCCTCATAATTATTGGCGCTCTCCTACCTATTGCGCCCTCATGTGAAATTTTGAAGGCCGCCTTTCTCCCTTTTGGCACCCTCTTGTTCAGTGCCGCCCTCCTACCTATTGGTTCCCTAGTCCTTCCTGTTGAATGTTAATCGGGGCCCTTCTCCTATTGGCGCCCTCGTGTAGATCGCCGCCCTCCTAACCACTGGCACCCTCCTGTTGATCACCGCCCTCCTATCCACTGGCAGCTTCCTGTTGACCAGCGCCCTCCGCACAGACGCCCTCCTGTTCGTGTCATCCTCTTGAGCAAAGGCGCCCTCCTCACCATTGCCACCCCCATTTTAATCGTCACCCTTCCGCTCATTGGCGACTTCCAGTTGATGACCGCCCTCCCACCTATTGGCGACCTCTTGTTGATCGCCACCCTCCTATTGGTGCTCTCCTGTTCCTCGCCACCCTCTTACTTGGTGGCGCCCTCCTGTTGATTGTTGATCGGCGCCCTCCTACCTATTGGTGCCCTCCTGTTGATCGCTGCCCTTCTATCCATTGGCGCCCTCCTGCTGCTCGCCAACTTCCTACCTA